GCTTTTTTGTATGGGGGATTGCAACTTCCCCACACTAACGCCGACAAAGACAACCACATACGTTCAGCATGTTGCAGTTAGAAGACCATAGTGAGACAACAATTTACCTGTGCCGAATTGAGAAAGATCGAACAATTTACTACTGCGATCTATAATAAACACAGGGATGTTCGCTTTYAACTCTTTCACGCAGGCGAGTGGCTTTAAGGTTAATACTACGGATTACCAGAACATCACTTTCGCTGGATCGGTGGGAACCGATGGCAGATGCCTTGGGACGTGTATTTCCTGGTAAAGTGTGTACTGGTATRAAGGCCCGTATTATTAGACCGAATTTCTTACCCGGAAAGAAAGAGGATTTGTATGAGAAATCTATTCAACGTACTATCTTGATGATAAGTTGTTACGTTGAAGCCATTGAAGATTTACTATTACTACGTTTAGGGATGCACATAATATAAAAGTTATGAAATTCTCGGTTTCTCCTGTTGTACGTGTAGCAGTTGAACCCAAGAATCCTGCAGATTTGCCAAAATTGGTTGAAGCTTTGAGACGTCTTGGTAAGTCGGATCCTATTGCGCTATGTATCATCGAAGAATCTGGAGAGCACATTATTGCTGTTGCTAGTGAACTTCACCTTRAAATCTGTTTGAAAGATCTTGAAGAAGATCACGCCTGTATACCAATTAAAAAGTCTGATCTTGTCGTATTATACAGAGAAACTATTGCAGAACAATTTAATCAGATGTGTTTGTCGAAATCACCAAATTAACATAACCGTCTTTTCATAATAAATTTTCAAATGCCTGATGGTCTTGTCGAAGATGTTAACAATATTGAAGTTTTGCTGAAGAAGAGGAAGTCTTCAATAGGGTTGATGCTTTACGAATCACTCAATAGTGGAATCTTTTGTGCTTCTCCTTTAAGGGGGGAGCTGTCATGTCCTAATGACGACCTTGTATTGCAGGGCGYATTATCCAATTTAAATCATTTTATAAATAATATTCAATAGTTGCGATCTATCTTCCTGTAATACTATACGAGAAAAAAAATAATTTAAATTTTTGTTACTTACATTATGAGCACTCTCATGAACGACCATCGATGGTTATTATTTTGTCAGCATGTGATATTAGTATAAAC